GATTAAGAAACCGCAACGGTAAAATGACCGGAACAGGTAAAGTAAAAACGGTTACGAAACCACAACGGTCGAATGACCGAACAAGTAAAGTAAAAAGGGCTATGAAACCGCAACGGTCGAATGACCGAAATAGGTAAAGTAAAAACGGTTACGAAACCGCAACGGTCGAATGACCGGAACAAGTAAAGTAAAAAGGGTTAAGAAACCGCAACGATCGGGTAGACTGAATGAGAAAAGTAAAAAAAACGGTTAAGAAACCGTAACGATCGGATTAACCGAACGAGTAATGATCGAATGATCGAGCAGGTAACGGTCGAATGACCGAGGGGTAACGATCGGATGACCGAACGAGTAACGATCGGCTGATCGAGCAGGTAACGGTCGAATGACCGAGGGGTAACGATCGAATAACCGAACGAGTAACGATCGAATGATCGAGCAAGTAACGGTCGAATGACCGAAGGTAAAGATCGAATGATCGAGCAAGTAACGGTCGAATGACCGAAGGTAACGATCGAATGATCGAGCAAGTAACGGTCGAATGACCGAAGGTAACGATCGAATGATCGAGCAAGTAACGGTCGAATGACCGAAGGGGTAGCGATCGGATAACCGAACGAATAGAGATCGAATGCTCAAGCAGGTAACAGTCGAATGACTGAGGAGGTAACGATCGGATTGACCGAACGAGTAACGATCAGATGATCGAGCAGGTAACGGTCGAATGACCAAGGGGTAACGATCGGATAACCGAACGAGTAACGATCGGCTGATTGAGCAGGTAACGGTCGAATGACCGAGGGGTAACGATCGGATAACCGAACGAGTAACGATCAAATGATCGAGCAAGTTAGTAGCTACGGTCAACCGACCGAGCAAGAGGGATAGCTACGGTCAAACGACCGAGCAGGCTTGAGCAATAACGGTTAAGTAACCGAGTAACAATCGAATGATCGAGCAGGTAACGGCCAAATGACCGAGGGGTAACGATCGGATGATCGAACGAGTAACGATCGAATGATCGAGGTGGTAACGGTCGAATGACCGAGGGGATAACGATCGAATGATCGAGGGGTAACGATCGGATTGACCGAACGAGTAACGATCGAATGATCGAGTAGGTAACGGTCGAATGATCGAGGGGTAACGATCGGATTGACCGAACGAGTTGAGAGAAGACAGTTAGAAAACCGCAATGATCGGGCTGACCAAACGAATGAGAGAAAACGACTAAAAAGCCGCAACGATCGGATTGACCGAACGAATTAGAGAAGACGCTAGAAAACCGCAACGATCGGATTGACCAAACGAATGAGAGAAGACGACTAAAAAGCCACAACGATCGGATTGACTGAACGAATGAGAGAAAACGACTAAAAAGCCGCAACGATCGGATTAACCGAACGAATGAGAGAAAACG